GCTGTCACGGGTGACCTGCCCCAGTCAATAGGAGAGGATATGTGGCTGCGTCAGCAGGTCTGGCAGAGGGGATGTGATGTGAACTCACTGACAGAGACTGGAGGAGAGCCATGTTGATGCTATATTCAGACACAGCACAGGGCGTAGGTGGTTTGTCGTCTTATTTAAAAATCCCTCACTTTTATCCAGGGTTTAGAGGCATGAACTCATTCAACTTTCACTAAAATGTACTAATTTTGACAGAATTTTTTTTATAGTTTTGGGAACTACCACAACAATGAGAAATTGCCATTTTGGTAGGCTGTCAACATTTACCTATCAGATAAAGCCTACAGTTCTAATGGTTGAGGTAAAAGCAGCGATTTTAGAGTAGCACAATGTATTTAAGTTGTTTGCTGCAATGTAAACTTCAATTGTTCCACTGAGTTTCTCCCCCCACAGAGAGGCCTATTTACCCTGCAAGTCCGTCCCCTGCATCTTAATCAAGGTCAGCATGGGAGGGAAGATCTCTTGAAAACCAGCATACTGCCATTCTGCTGCTTTGTGGGAACGGGGCTATTGACCCACACAAGGGTGTCAGAGAGCACAAAGCAGAGAAAGAGACGCCCATAAAAAACCCCAAGGCTCCTTTTTCTTCCTCCTTTCCACAGCCCCAGACTACAAAAAGACAAGGGGGCATTTATACCCGGCCTCTGTTCCCCCTCCAGACACTGCAACCAATGAGGCTTTTTCATGACATCAGCATGCTCACATCCTCCAGTCCACATCCAGAACTATTGACTTGGTTTGGAAGAAAACAATCTGCTCTGCTGAAAGACTTGCAGACTCGTTGAAAGCAGCTTAGTGTTCTGTGCAGGACCGACCAACAAGACGCTTTCTAACACTGCTCAAATAATGTAAAATCTGTTTATTCTCTGGATTGATCAAACAGAACCTGAATTAAGCTCTGATTAAAATCTGTTCATGGTAAATATGCAAGGCATGTTCAAATAAATATTCATCTGCAATCCTTTATTTATCCTGTGTTTCCCTTCAGTTAAAACTTTCTGTTGACACATTTGAAGCCTTTAGAAGTGAGTAACAAGTGAACTCAAGTCCAAATTTTACTGCAGCCAGGTTTGAGAAGATCAGTAAAACCAAAATGTTTTACCCACACAAAAACTCTGATCAAACTGTGATAAATGAGTAGTTAAAATCAGTACAACACCTCCCTATCTTGTTATAGAAGAACTATCTTTTTACACAGCCTGATGATTTTGTTAACTGGTATAAGAGCCATATACAGTTATTACGAAACTCATATTTTGGGCTCTCCCAGGGGGTTTAAAAAACAATAATGAAGTTAAGAATATTGCCGTGGATAAGCAGAAACTGTCTCCACAAGCATGAAATGAGGAATTGTCAAACACCACACTCATTATCAAGGCAGCAAGGAAGTTCTCAAAGAGTAATTCTGTTTTTCAACATTGGCTTTATTCTACATAATAAAAAAGATACAAAAAAGTTTTAGAATAAGACTTTAGCCGACAGCTGTCAAACATGCTGTAATGGCTGCATCTTAATGGAGGTGTCCACTAGAGGAGCTTTTTTATACATTACCACTGATAGGCTCAGATTGTGATGCTTAGAGTCTGTCAGAAGAGACAGATAGATATAAATAACAGTGCATGTGTAATAAATAAAGTAGTAGTAGTAGTAAGTATATTTTCATGACAACACTTGATAAGGCTGGTGACTACATTACATAAAGAGGTAATTATGTATTGCCTTTATCTGTATGATTTATAAACCTATAGTGACACAGAATATACATGTTGGTTTCCCAAAATTAAATTACAGAGAAAGGCAAACAACTCCTTGTGTAGTACATTTTAGATCCATTTGTTATCCAGAAACAGTTGTTACATCGCTCCCTCTAAAGCCTACAGACTCCATAACTCCTTAACTTTATAAGAACGCTGATGGCGGCTTTATGCTGAAACACATCTGTTGTTGATCTGTACGCTGCTCTACACAGAGTACAAATATTTAAAGGATATGAGTTTGTTGTTGACTTTTCTTGAGTTTTGAAACACTTTAGTTTTACCTTAAAATACACCGGATATTCACGTCTATTGCTGCCTTGGCCCTCGATTGCTTTTTGTGTGTGTGTTGTGTGACTTTGTTGTTTTCTTGTTGGCTAGAGTTAACACCTTGTACCTGTAACTCACATTAAAAGTCTCCTAGTTTACGAGGTAAAATTTCTGTTTTGTCTTCAGTCTGCTGGTTTTAAAAATAGTAAAGTAACAGCTGTTGCTGGTTTCAAAAGAACATCTTAATACTAAAAGGTTTATCTTTACAACCTGGGCCAGTCAGTGGTTAGAAAAAAGAACTTTGAGACTACATGCTTATATCTCACGTATTTTCTCTGAAGTTTATGCTGCAGCCATTACAGTCCTTCTTGCTGCTGGCTGTAACAATCCATTGAAGCTACATATATGAACATTTTTTTTCTATTAAGTCCCCATGTGTATATAAACAGGGTTTAAAAACACCAGTATGACCCTATAAAATAAATATCTAAGATAGATAACGTGCCTTATCAAAAACAGCAAACAGGCTTTACGTGCTCAGAAATCTAATTCACAGATTAAATCAAACAGGACGTCTCCAAGGACGTTCAGTGGTATCCACACTGTAAATATATTTGCTGTGGATTAAAAAGCCTCTGATCTAAATTTACACTGCTGCAGGAGACTCTGCTGACAGTGAAATACTCATTGTCCATTGCCGTAGAGAGAAATGTAGGAAATCGGTGCAAAGGCAGTGATACCACTGCAACTGTAGGTGGGAACAAAATGGAGTTACGTTCAGCGTGAAATGCTTCAGGGAATTATCTAAAAACAGAACATGCCTGTGAGATTTCTTAAGATCTTAGGAGTTGAGTAGAGCAGGGAACGACAAATCACACGATCAAAATATGACAGCCCAAAAAAAGCCGCCCGGCTTGTTGTCTAGTCACCCATGACATGAGGAAGGAGGAGGGAGCGGGCTAAATTAGGCCAAACGGTAAATATTTCAGGAAGCCTCATCCATTATTAACAAACGGCTTTACCTTGCTTAGCAGACGACATATCGAGTGTCTTTCCAGTCTCCTCTGGACTAGAGTCCTCACTCTGCACTGAATAACCCGCGGAATGTGGGCCGCTATGAACTACATGATGGAATCATACAACACAAACCAATACAGGAAACTTTTCAGAAGTACATACTCGATTATGTTTTCATGTTGGAAAACACCCTGCACAACTTTTCAATAGTACTCATTGCATGTTGGCATTGGAGGCAAAATTGTAAAGGCAGATTAATTATGGATGTTTGTTAAGCAGCCATTGTTAATCTGGATTAATCCAGAGACATACATAAATAACAGTCTTTGCCCTAAATAACTACAAGGTCAGATTTCCTGGAGATTATGTCAACTATAGGATGATTTTGAAGAGATTTGCTGAGCAGCTGATTTCATTTTTAAAACTCCTCTGCTGCTGGCTGTATTAAATTACTTTAAAGGATCATCCCTTCAGTAATAAGACAATCTTACATTTTCTCTTTTGGTACATTTAAGTCTTAAGCAGTATCTCAATTTCCTATTTCTGAAATTAAATCAAGTTTTAAATGAACTACCTGCTCCCATCAATAGGTCTTTTTTCTCAGAGGAGTTGTGCAGAGTCCGCTCTGATACCAGGCAGGTTAGACGTCAAGGTTGTTAGCATTGGTTAGAAAAGCTTCAACTGTGCTGCTTGATAAATCACAGTTTTATCGTCAACGTGATATAAACATGTAGAATAATCTCATGGCAAAACCTCCTGAAATTAAATGAATTCAAAAACACATTTTAGGAACACAATCCATACCTTTTCACTCAGCGAGGGAACCAATCAGATGGAGCCCTGCATACATTTGCAATGTACTCATCTTTTTCGGCCAATCAGAGGAAGCCACCGCTAGTCCTCGTCAACTACCCTCAGATGAACTGGTATCAATCACAAAAAAACTCTTACTCTTATTTATTGACATTAAAGACAACAAACACTTTTCAATAATAAGCCAACATCTCAGCTGCTACCCTCAATACCATTTAATGATTTGGACCGCTGCACACTGCGTCTTTTCTTATCTCAGTTTGGTGGTGACTGTGAGGTTATAGCAGGATGTAGAAAAGGCAAATAAGATTTACTAAATGAAGACCTTGTGGTGAAGAACCTAAGCAGACATGTACTGTATCAATGCTTTTTAATCACCCCTTTTTCCTGCAAGTAATTTCAAGTTATTTTATCGAGATCTGGATTGATTTTTCTCATGTTGAAATAACAAACAAACAGGATACATTTCTGGTGATCAAGACAACAAAGCAAGAGGCAGGTCACCTCAACCTCATTGAGATTAAGAATCTCATTTTCAAGTGTCCAGATCCCGACATGCTATGCTGTCAATCCCCCCCCCCCCTCTTATAATGTCAGTTTAACATATATCTAAATATTTTTTTGTGCTTTTACAACTCCAGGGACACACACTTAAGAAATCCTGAGCTCAAAAAAACAAGTAGAAATAACTTTTTGTAAAAGTCATGTGCATGTTGAGTTTTTTTAAAGACCTTTGTTGCCTTTGTTTGATAGAGGAAGCTAAAGATTGGCAGTCAGTCTGGTAAAAGAGAGAGAGGAAGACATGCTGCAAGGGGCAGGCTCTGGCTTGAAGCCCCTTCTTCATGATGAGGCCTCGAAAACTCTACCAGGTGAGCTGTTTAAGGATATTATCCAACATCACAGACTTTCACAGTTGAAGCTAGAATCTGGCTTGATGCCCTTTAACCTTTACCAGCCACTCTCTACTGTGTTGATAACCATACAGTGTGCAGTGATTGTAAACCCATCCTTGATTTTAAAATAATAACAAGAAAACAGAGAAAGCAGTTCCAGGACACATAACACAAATACTGCAGGTGAATTATTTTGATCACTTACTGGTGGTGTTTCCAGTCATCTGAATGATGCACTTGCTCTCTTTTCCGATCTCCCTTGAATTGAAGGGGCGGACACGCACCGCCACCTTCACAGAGGCCCCTGCCATGGTGCTGTCTTCCTAGCACCTCTGGGTGCCTTCTTTAGGTCTGTAGAGGGGAGCACATAGTGAATCCAAATTAATATAATGTGTCAGTTCATATGAAAGAGTCAATGCCATCGTTTTGGGCATTTCAACACATGTTTACATTTCTGTTAAGGGCTGAATGTAACACCTCATGGTTGACGTGATCTGTACAATAGAGTAGGGCAGGGATGTGTAGCTGTAACATGAAAAGACCATGCATGGTCAGCTACAGCCAGGAGAGAGAAGGATAATGAAGCTCGCAGTGACAAAAGAAGTGCAGCAGCAGCAGCAGCTAAATGTCAGGCTGTTTCCCTGGCTCACAAAGGCACTGAAACCAGCCACAAATCCAGAGTCTGGCTCCATTTAGCAGCTCATCATGCTGTTTCCTGACAGACCACATATTAACATTAAATCACTTTGTGTGTGTGTTTAGTGTGTCTGTGTCTGTGTGTGTTCGTGTGTGTGTGTCTGTGTGTGTGTGTGTGTGTGTGTGTGTGTGTGTGTGTGTGTGTGTGTGTGTGTGTGTGTGTGTGTGTGTGTGTGTTTAGTGTGTGGTGGCATTGTTGATGCATCAAGAGCAACCATGACTCATCGTAAATGTAGATCAAATTACATCCATTTAATGCTTTTATCAATAACCTTTAACAATGAGCAATATGATACAATTAGGTTTTCATTGCATCCCTAAGGTTTGACTGTAAATATTGAAGTCATAATTTATAGCATATTAATAAGGGAAAGTGGCATTTCTTTAAAAAACAATTACGTAGATGTATAGGGGAAATGTTTGCATCAATATTCCGAGTATATGTTCCTATAGTTAGTGACTCTATAGTGACTCAGATGTTCGTCATCATGATTGAATGATGTAAATTTGCTGTGTCATCCCGCTTCCTGGAACAACCTCTATATCTGACACCTGAACGGATTCAATTGTAAAATGTCATTTTAATGGAATGATGGATTGTGTTGTTTTAGGAGCAGTCATACTCGAGACTGAGGGCAAATCAGGACACAATAATACAAAATAATGGTAAAAAAAAAAAAAAAAAAAATCACTGTTGTTTTGATATCTGAGGATGAAATTCACAGTGCTTAAACCCTATAGCATGTTTTCCCAGTGAAAATCCTTTGCCAAACAAAAATTCATTTTATTCTAATAAAAAATGAAAATATTGAATAAGTTTTCCCACTATCTACATCTATGTCCATAATCTTCTCATATGATGCTCAGTCCATTCAGCTGATGATGGTGCTCAGCTGGGCGGACACCATTTTCCCGGTGACAAAGGCTAATGTAATTAACCATGCCTGTCTGTGTATGAGTATGACGACAATTTCATACAATTAAACCCTCTCCAGCAGCCTTAAACATGATTTAAATTGCAGGTTATCAACGTGGCAGCAAAGCTATAAAGGATAGGTCAGCACTGGCTAAAGGGCCTTGTGTTGTTTGTCTAAAACTGACATTAAATGACTTTAATAATGAAATGAAATGAAATACTAATTTTCCGAGTGTATTGCGTAACAGTTCGTCAATTAGCAGGTGTAGCAATACGTTTCGTGGTTCACCTTACGCCCAATGACAGGACATGTATTCCTGTCGCCTCCCTCACTCATTTAAAATATATTTTTCAAAACAATATAGGGAGTAAAATAATATGACAGTAAAGATAATATGTTGCAGAGCAGCTTCAATGTCATTCAGTCTCTACAGGAGTCTCTTTCCGACGCTGACAGCCTCTTCAATGGCCGCACCCTATGCCCATCTCTTCCCTGGAGATTTAACACTAGGTAAATAAAGACCGCCTCATTAAAACTGCATTACCGGCGGTGACAATGGAAAAAGAAGAGAAAAAACAAGTAGACCTACCTCCGCAGGGTCAAAAAAACGTCTTCCTCCTGTGCTGAGACCGTGTTTGTCGTGCTTATCTTGGTTTTAATATCCTTCCACCTCCTCTGGTCTCCTCCGGGTCTGGCACTGCCCCCAGCTAACAGCCTCTCCTCCCCATGAAAACTGGGAGAGCAGAGGACGACCGTGTCTTTCACCCAGCGACCCTCCCGCCCTCTCTGCCCTGCCTTGCTTTATACGTGGCCGGTCGGTTTTTAGTGATGCTCGCCCGCTTCTTCTTACTCCAAGAGCTGTCAAAATGGCTCTGTTGTCTCCCTGTCTGTGGTAAGGAGGATGCTCGAGCTCCACTGAGCCGGTGACATCATCACCGAGGGAGGTAACAGCATCAATGCAGTAGTGGGAAGAGAGAAAAGAGAGAGAGAGAGAGAGAGAGGGAGGGAGGGAGGGAGGGGTGTGAAAGGAGACGAGGGGGAAACAGGGTGAAACACACAAGATTAGTATCCCTTTAGAACTTCTCTTGTAAATGATACTGTGTCCAAAAAAGAAGACTTAAGATTGATGCAAACATTTATTTCTAAAGAAATAAAACAGCCATGTTTGTAGGCAGGGTTGTCTAATATGCATTAGCAGGAGAAAAAACACGGATTTGTCATGAATAGGGTTTAGTAGGTCAATCCGGGGACATCAAGCTGAGAGGAGACAAACATACACAAAGCAGCCGCTCTGCCATGGTGATTGTGGGAAAATGTTTGTTCAGCATAGCTCACAATCTAGCATCCCAGAGTGGAGAAGAAGAAATATAATCATGTTCTTCTGAAAAAAATGTCCTTCCTGTAAGTCTCTTACTAAAAAGATTGGGTAGTCTGCATTGCAGGTTTTAGCCTCTGATTTCTGCAGCAAGCACCTCAAGCAAAATGGCCTTTTCACCAGTGTTTTTATCCTTAATGATGGGTTGGTTCTTTTTAATTGTCCCACCATGCTCAATAACAAAAACCCTTGAACTGAAGCAAATAAATGGAACTGAGCCATCTTCAAAATAAGAATTTACACCTGTTCTTTTCATACTATGACAAATAGCTTAGACTCTTAGCCTTATGACACTGCATTGCGTTTTTTGTTGAGTCACTGGCAGCTCATTCTGATGTGATAAGGATTGTCTTCTGGAAATAACACCAATGAAAAAAAATGATCAGTAGATTATTTATATATTTGAACTTCAATAATTTTGAAAATAACACTTCAGTATCTTATACTAAGTATGTAGAGGTACTTGTGTTTTTGCAGAAGACTTTTTGACATTAAAGCTGCCTGTGAGTATTTCTTAGCTGGCTTTGAAATAGATTAAAATAAACACTGATGTCCACATGTGACCTGCAAAACAGCATCAGCAACAAGATTGACCATTTACATACAATAATATATATTTCCTGTAACTGCTGCAGTGGGGATATAAGATAAGCTGATTTACAGCATGCAAATGAAAGAACCTTTAAAAAACACCATATGAGTTTTAAACTCATATGGTGTTTAAGTTTAAAAAAAGAGAAAAAAAGGGATGAGATTTCTTGTCAAAAAATACAAGAACAATGCATATACAGGACAGCATCAGCACAAAGGTTAAGATGTGCTTTTGTCCACAGGCTGCGCTAAAATAAACGCCAACAAAAGGTTCCTGAGCTTTAAAGGTCACTTATTATCCTTCTTTCCAAAACTTGAAATAAGTCCCAGAGCTCCCCAAAACATGTCTGTGAAGTTTCCTGTTATGAATCCACTCTGATTCTGTCTTTGATCACGCTCATAAACCCCTCTATTTCAGCCCTGCTCATGACCAGGCTGTTTATGTGTCTGTAGCTTTAAATACAGATGAGCTGTTTCTGACCACGCCCCTCACCGGCAGGGGATTTGGCGTGTACTTTCTCGTTCCATGTCCAATTGTTGACAGTGACAAGGCAGATTTCAAGGGCAGAACAAACACTTAGCCGTGGGAGTGTCAACCACCTGGGGGAGGGGTTACTGCCCTTGTGATGTCATGAAGGGAAAACCTCCAAACGGCCTGTTTGAGCACACATTTTCTGAAAATTGGAGCAGGCAAAAGAGAAAGAGGATTGACTTTTCTCATCATTGGGTGGTTTGTAGACAGACTAGGGAGACACATATAAGTGTTAGAAAAACATGGTGAAGTGCATTTTGCATAGTATGTAACCTTTGAAGCAAATTTATGAATACTTAAAATTATGTAAATTCTGAATTAATTTGAGCTTCTTCAGTCCCAGGGTCCGGTTCACATAGCCATCTATATGTCTGTAAAAATAGGCCAATTTAGCTGTGAATATTAAGATTCTCACCAAAGTTTGGAAAGGAAGCTTTCATTGAACAATCACATTGTGTGTATTTTACAGGCATTTATAAATTCAAAACAAATTATTATAACCCTTTTTTAAATTCAGACTTTTTTATTTTTTCATGTCTGGTAAAAACTGAAGAGGGAGGCAAGGGATGTGTTGTGCTCATGATCTCCGTACCTGACATTGGAGTTAGACTGGTGAAAATGCACCTTTGGGGGAGTGCCTGTAGCCATTAGTTAGTTCATGCGCCCTATGAACTGAGACTAGAGTCCTCCAAGGTGATGGCCTGGGTTTGATTCCAACCTGTGGCTCCATTCCCGAATGTCATTCCCTACTCTCTCGCTCCCCCTGATTTCTCACTCTATCCACTGTCCTGTTTCTCTAAGAAAGGCGTAAAAAGCTCCAAAATAAACCTATGACTTCTTGTTTTAAAATGTTCTTATCTTTGAATACAGCTGTAAAAATACAGAGTCAATTTAGCTTAATTAAAAACGATACAGCTTTCAAAGGTTCAAATCTGAAATATAAAGCGTGGGGGATTTTTTTTCTCCTATTGGATAAATTGGATAAACTTTTAATACATCCTCTCTTAAATCAGAAGGAAAAACATCAATATTCCTATTTAAGCCCTAGATACAATGCCAGGAGAAAGGTCTCTATAGTGGAGCTCTTAAAGAGTCATTGAGCTGATTGAAGAGATGAGACCGCGGGCCTTACAATGTCATTGTGTCCTTGTGAATGACTTGACCTGCACACTAAAGGACACTAATGGCTAGGTGGCTATAGAGGTTGTTGGTGCTCAATCAATACATGTTCTTTTCACTTTTATGTTTTCAACATAAACAGGTCTGTGTAGTGAAACATGCATACAATCTGAATTCTGTAAACGGTGGTAAATGTCACTCTTAGCTCATTCTCTTTGTATACCTATTAGTTTAAATCAATTTTCCCTGAACATATGAATGGCTCTTGGGTTTTATGCCATGCTAAGTCCATTGCTCATGAGGCTTAGCAGCAATAAAGGGCAGTGAACAGGAACTCGCTATCTGGTTGTAGGATACTTTGGCCGCTCAGGTTTCAGCCTGAGTGAAACACAATGCAATTGTGACCGTGCTCTTTGCACAGGCCTACTGTTCCTACTCTCTCTCTTTTCCTCTCTCTACTTGCTTGATCTCTCTTGGGTCCTTTCTTTCTCCTCCATTTCTCTCTGATGCAACGTCTTTATTTAATTCATCAGCATTAAGATTTCAAGGTCTAATCCGTGCACAGAAAGATTATATCTTGCTTTAAAGTGCAGCCATGATGCACCACGTATGAAGCATATAAAGGGAGTGTGAATCACTACAGATTAAAAACAATGATGTCACCTGCATGAATCACCACATGCTACATGATGTGCCCCACATAAACTTGTTTGCCCTCTAAAGTGAAGTAGGCCAAGCTAAAGGCTCCGTTTTATAAGTGAGCGTTGAAAGGACATGTCTTTAGATTATTTAGGAGGACCAGAATCGTCAGCTGAAGGAAGAAGGAGGAGGAGTCTTGGTATTGTGTCTGTTCGGCCCTCTAGTTCTGCTCTGCTCTGTCTAAATTCAGTGGCACAGGAGCCTGAATAATTTATAGGTTGTGTGAGCTGTTGCCTCGAGCCGGGTGTGACAGACTTGTTTTCTTAAAGAGACTCTCTTGGTGTGTTTCCATCAGAGCACAGAGAACAAACTCCCACCCTAACCATGTACAACATGGAAACAACAGAGAATAATAATGTCATATTTTGAATTATTAATATGAGGACATTGACTGAATTACAAAATCATTCCTCCTCTTATGGTGAGATTAAATACATCGTCATCCTTTTTTATTACAGAGTCCTGTCCAACATACTTAGAGAATAAAGTCAGACGGAATAAAGCAAATAAAAAATAAAAACCTAACACAAGTTGGATAATGCAATTTATATGTCTCTTGATAGCTTCGCCTACTATAATACTGGACAAGTCACAAATGCACAACACTTACCCTATTATCGGGCAGCTGGAGATCAGTTGGTGGAGTCGGTCGTCTCTCAACCGAGAGATCAGGGGTTCAATCCCCAGCACCTGCAGCCACACTTCCATGTGTCCTTGGGTAAGACACTTACCCATTAATGTGTTTGAATAGTATTAGTTACTTCTGGTCAATTTACATATCAACCTCTGCCATCAGTGTGTGAATGGGTAGGTGTGATCTGTGGTGTAAAAGTGTTTTGAGTAGCCAGAAGACTAGAAAGGCATATACAAGCTCAAGCCCATTTACCATGATTTGTTGATTTTGGGTCCTTTAGGGTATCATTTGCATATCCAAAAGTATTTTTAGTGGTTGAAAAAGAACTCATACCAAAAATATAAATGTAATGAAGGACATCAAAGAATCACAATACATTCAGGAGTATGTGACTTGTTTTTACAACATATACGTTGTATTGTAGACCAAGTTTGTCATTATACATTTTTCTTAGAGAGTGTTAACATTAAGTTTTACAAGAAAAGGTAACCACCAAAGTATACCTGCAGTATAAAGTATTCATGAAAGATACAAAAACTGGATTATTTATTCTGCAGAAGGGTCGACATACATATAATTGAGGTATATTATTGTTGCATAAATGTTTCAGCTTAACTGTAATGTTGCTAGATCTGGATCTTTTCAAATTGAGTACACTTACTTAATCTTTTGTTTTACTTTTTTTTACTCAGTTTCAAGCATCTCCTTGTTGTGATATGTGTTTTACATATTATTTACATATTTATGTATGTATGTATGTATGTATGTATAGTATGTGAACATATGATCAACCTAAATACTGTAATATGATTATTAAGATTAAACTACCTGATCATATCCATAGTATCAGGCAATAATACAGTTTTAACATTAAGAAATGGAGGAATAAAAAAAGAAGGCATACTGTATGAATCCCTTCAGTGGAATTCTTCTGTTGTTATTTTTACAAACACATGCATGAAAATTAGGACCTATGCATCAATGTATGAGGGACATCAGAACAAGGGAGCTGTCTAGAGGGGTCAGGGTTTTTTGTTATACTAAAGGGCGCCTTGCTTGTTTCCCAGGAGGTGAACTGGTATCTCTCCATGCAGCTGCCAGACCACAGTTCATACTGAGTGACCTGTGCTCAATGTGACCCAACAACCCTCCGCATCCACAGCCAGGTCCCCAGAGACAGAGCAACTTTTGCTATTTAGTCTTAGAAAGCTAAATGTGCTGTCTCGCCTTTTTAAATGGTGTCTCTCTTTAAGGCTGCTGTCATGAAACTCAAGGTGTGAGAAAATAAAACTTATCACATCTTGGTGAAGAGCCTGTGCAATGGGCGCCCCCTGGTGGTCCCAAAATAAATAGATACTGGAGATAACAACATTAGTGTAAAAGAAAGGTATATAACAACCTCAAATGATGATTAAAAAGGCATATTAAAGGTTGTGTGATTCCGCATAATGGAAACAGTATGTCGAGCATACTGCTTTTACATAAAGAGAAATTGGTAGGTTTTTATTCAAACTACTTCTCAGCTGACTACCAGTTGCCGCAGGGAAAATACCTGCATCTTTCAAATTCCTGAGAATGCAACATTTTTCTGGAATAGAGAACTGATTTGGTGCAGATACAGCAAAGAAGAAGCAGATCTGTTTTTTATCTATTAATCCATTTATTGGCCTCTTAAGCTTTCCAGGACAAACGGCCAAGATACATAGTGCCTATATGGCCTCCTTGGCAACGCTAAAATGTAATGGCCACTTTTGTTTCTCCCGTGTGAATTCCAGCATATAACAGCCTTAAACATTTGACAAAACATTAAATGTGCAAAGTGCACAGAGAACAGCTCAGACGCAAAGAAAAACAACACATATTTTACTGGATTAATGGAGAACAATTTATTTTAGCATTATGTGACACTTTTAAACACCGTCATCCTGACATGTTTGTTTCCTTAATTTCAACAAAATATTATAGCAAACAAACCTTTTTTTTTCGGGTGACAGAAGTATTTGGTACAGCGGTAGGGTAACTCACATTTCACCGTTACTTTACTTTGCACCGCACAGACCACCTGCAAAGTGGTCACCTGAACATTTACGTACCACAGTTTACATCCATCACAGCCACAGGGGGATGATGACTGGCTTTGACTAAACCAGCTTTAAGTGAGAGCAAAACAAATCCACAACCTTGAATATTGGATGAAAAAACACAGACAGTCATTGTTGAGAGCCTTTGTAAATGACTGTTTCTTTTTGCTTAATATTGCTTGCATGACAAACACTCAGAGTGCTAGTTAATAAAATGCAATAACCTGTACAGAATAATTCATATGTACAGTATTGAGAAAGGTGGTTTCTGTAAAATCACTGTCCAGTTTAAGATCACACTATTGAATCGATGTGGTCCATTATGCCGGCTAAACCAGGATTTGAAAACCCAGCATTTAAACTCAAATAGCATACTGTAAATGAAATTTGTGAATGTACAGTTTTTGCTTTGTAGTAAATCCACTTGTCACTATGATGGACTGATTTAAAAGCTTGTTTCATCAAAACACTAATAAAATGAATCATAAGTAATATTCATAGGCTGACGTTTAGCAGCACCCTCCAAAGGTATACAGTACCAATGTGTTATATTATACCTCCATGTATTTGCAGGGATGGACACACACAGGTACACAGTCTAAAGCCACTGTTACCCTGCCATACCATGCATAGTGCACAGGATCAACACCTGATGTCCCCACATTAAAAAAAAACATCATTAGGGCATTGTGAAGTGAGGAGATTTCCCCCGATTACTATCAATTAAAGATCACTAACTACTGTTAATTACTTGACTGTGAACTATAACTCATAACAGCTGAGTTGTTGCTTTGTGTGGTTTAAGGTGACTAGTGTGATTTTTTAAGACTATAAGACAAGAGGTTTCACATTTTATGTTCAAGTAATTTAAGTATAACAAGTGGCCCCCTTTTGCGATTGAACAAGCAGATATGCATACATGTCTTTAAGGAATGTGAATAAATCAACCGCCTGTATCTTACCTTTACTGAAGGGAGATATGTTCTAGTTAAAAAGTTACTTTTTTACGTGCTGAATAACTATTTACTGGAGGGAGGGGAAGCCGTTTCTGAAATCCTCCAGATACACAAGTTCATGAGAAAAATGGAAACCACCAACACTCTTGGGTGCAGAAAAAACAGTCAAAGGAACAGTTAGATGTTTGTAGAAATATGTTTGTCTGTTGTTTATCCCAGAGTCAAAGACTTTAATCAGTTTCATCTCCGTGCATCCTACGCCAGGGCTGTGTTAAGCCCAGCTATAAGCTCCAACTGAATGCAAGTGGAAACAGCAAGCTGAAATGGAAAAATGGGCCATCTAGAAACCTCAAAGACTTATTTAATACTGGGTGCACTGTTTGTGAATAAACCATGAAACAGAAAAACCTACCAGTCCATTAAACTATCAAAGCTTTGGAGTTATTAGGCATAGTCCTTTAGCCTGCTAGCCATAGCTAAACTAGAAATTTCCATCTACTTTCTGTTAAGCTAAAAGGTATATCTACAAAAAGCACAGAGATTAAACTTCATTTCAATCTGATCTGGTAGGCTGACAAACAAATATATTTCCCTACATATCGGAGCAATGAAAAACACAGGAGTCAGTTCACTGGGATGTCTTATGAGGGTTATTTTGAATGTCTTTGAACTTGGTGTAAAAAGCTATTAGCACATAGCTTAGGCCATAGAAGTGTCCACTTAATGGAGTCACTGAGGCACTACTTCCTTCAAAGAAGCCAAGGCTGAATGGATGCGCACGTGAAGCCTGTTCTCAAAGTCGTAGCCTGTGAAATCCTCCTGAAACATTTCAGATAGACAAACTGATCAGATAGACAGACAGACAGACAGACAGACAGACAGACAGACAGACAGGCAGGCAGGCAGGCAGGCAGATAGACAGACAGACACACACACAGACAGACAGACAGACAGACAGACAGACAGACAGATAGACAGACAGACACACACACAGATAGACAGACAGACAGACAGATAGCAGGCTGCAAGATGGATGTTAAAACTAAATTGAGAAATGAAATTGAGAAGGACATTCCCAAATATGTCTTACCTTTGCTTGAAGAAGCAATGATCTCCCCTTCCCCACAGTCTGGATTGCAACATGACAAAGATTGTGTTTTTAAAGATTAAGTACAATACACTTTCAAATAAAAATAATAAAATGTATTTGTGTGGCACCTTTCACATAATAGTTATAAAGTGCTTCAGAACAGAACAATAAAAACATACTCAAAGTGACACGAGATTAAAGCATAGAAAGATTACATAACAGATAACTCAGACTCAGTATATGAGTTAGATATTTAAGATGTAAAAAGTAGGATTGTTAGACTTGCATGGCACCGTTTTAACTCTATTAAGAATAAGGGAATTCACTAAGTGTTTTTTTGTTCCACAATTAAAAGAGGAATTACCTTGAATCTCAACAAAATGATCCATCAGAGGATCTCAGACTATTATTCAGATCATATATAATGTGTTATCTAACAGTACTCATGTCCTCAAGGGCCAGTCCAATCCTAGCCTTTGACATGATTATGAAAACCTAAAAATCTGTTTCAAATGCTCCGGTGCTCAGTGTTATGAAGTAGGGCCGAGCAATATGGCCTTTAAAGAAAATCTGATTTTTTAACTCATTAAATTTTCCATCGATTTTTCTTTCTTCTAAAATAAACTTTAAATGACAAAGAAATTTCTAATAAGAAGTTCTGCTTTTATTTTATCAATAAAACTTAAAAAAGAAAACTGAATTTCCCTTTGAGCATTAATAAAGGAACCTGCATTTTTCTGAAGGGGTTAAAGTGCAATAAGTGCTCAAGCTAGTTTCAGGGTACTTAAAAGTTCAGATGAGGCAGAGCAAGTTCATCAAAATACTCGCAGCTGGTAACCACTTACAGTACCTGGGGCCACCCAGCCACTCTGTAGGAGGTAAACGAGGGGGGAGGATGTAAACTAAGGGCGCCCAAAGAGTGCCGGAGTAAGTTGAAAAGAAAATCTGGATTTTCAATCATGAATCCAGATTTTACGATATATCCATAAAATCAATTTATCGCCCAGCCCTATAATGAAACTTGAATTTGATTAAGTGTTACTTAATGTCTTCATAAATAATGTATTTATTGTCAGTAAAAGTATTGTTGTTAAAGCATGTGTACATTTAATAAATGCAGCATTTACAGGGTGTGGTGAACATGAATTATAATTTCCAGGTTCTTGTGAATGTCTGAATACTGTGTGCAGAAGACTGACCTCGGGTTTTGCGAGGAGTATACATCCCAGCTCGTAGACGGCATACGCCTGCACGTACGAGTTGATCTGTCGTCCGTACTCGTCTTTTGCAGCCAGCTGGAAGGCCTGGACACCAGAGAAAAAGGAAAGAATAACTCCCTGAGTAACATCAAAGGATAGATGCTGCTGCTGAACTGCAAAGTCATCCAGTGCTTAACATAGACTGATACCTGAATAGCATCTCTCATATTTCCATGACATTTGTGAATGGCACCAAGAAGGAGCTGTTTCAGGCCTCTGCAGGACGACTCATCTAAACTCTGTAACACTGAATAAACGTAAACAGGAAGTTATCAAACAGAGTTAAATGTCATTCTCAGAAGTCCTGCCGCAGCGGACTTGGTTATGTTTGTTCAGATCCTGAGGGTGTCACTCACCCTGATTCATTATCTGCAGTTTAGATGCGGAGCAGTTTGCGAGTGCTTTCCACAGATACAGCACTTCGATTACACCCAGGATGCATAGCTCTCTGGTGGGCGTCGTTTTTCTCAATCTTTCAGCCTGCAGGTAGATCAGACAGAGAAGGAAAACCTTTGTGATTAATCTGTATTGAGTTTCTCAGGGGAGAGAGCAGGAACTGATTGTTTGTCTCCTTTTCACTTTCTGGTCCTGTAGAGTTTGATAGATGGTTATAGTCTGTTGAAGCCGTTCCACAAAACGTAGCTTCATTTTTTTATTTATATTTCTGAAAAATCCTTAAAAACTATTAAACAATCTAACATGAGTAAAATGTTGCTCCAGTGAAGATTTAATATGGTCATATAAAACTATTTTAAAGATCACATATTATGCAAAATACATGTACAAATATGTCTTACTAACACTAATATATGTCCCTACTCTGTCTACAAACCCCCCAATTATGAGAAAAGACCATCCTCGCCGTCGTTTCACTGCTCCATCTTTCAGAAAATGTGTGCTCAAATAGGCTGTTTGGAGATTTTCCCTTCATGACATCACAAAGGGCAGTAACCCCTCCCCCAGGTGGGTGACACTCCCACAGCTAGGTGTTTGTTCTGCCCTCTGAGTCTGCCTTCTCAATGTAAACAATAGGGCATGGAGCGAGAAAAAGCCCAAGCCCTTCCAGAGAGGGGGCGTGGTCAGACACAGCTCATTTACATTTAAAGCTACAGACACAGAAACAGCCTGTTCTGAGCAGGGCTGAAATAGAGGGGTTTAGAGACATGATCAAATACATGATCAGAGTGGATTTAGAACAAGAAACTTCACAGACATGTCCTCTCCTCTGAGACTTATTTAAACTTTTGAAAAGGAGGATAATATGTGACCTTTAAATATTTCATATGTACAACTAGGTCATGCTCTAGTTACATGCAGTTTATCCAAAAATAAAAAGCTAATCTATTTCCTATTTCTCTTATTTTGTCCTTTATTTTTTTGTTTTATACATTTTCCCTCAATTTCCTTCTACATACACGCTCATGTCCTTGAACTGTTGTGTGTGTTAAGCGATATATATCCTGTACAAAAGTAAAAGAAAGGACAGAAAAAAATAGAGAAAAATCTGCAGCATAACTCACCCTTTTGACAGCAAACTGCTCTATCTGGTTGTTTTTCCTCTTGAACAGCTTCTGCACATCTTTGAAAACTCCACTCGCCCCGTCCAGGTCGCCTGAAGCCCCCTGACACACTGTAAAAAAAACAAAAATAAGTTGAGGTTATTGATCAGAATCGAGACCTACGACCTCTACGATGAGCATTGTGTTATAGGCTTCTTAAGTTGGTAAACATACTGTATTTTTTACTGTATTGTATTTTATATTTCTATGTAAAGGGACAAGTAGGGAGCAAGTCAACCGTTGCCACACACTACAGCATTTATAGCCTAAGCTAGTTTGCAATGCCGACTCCTATTTGGGCCTTTAAACTACATTAAACTCAACAATAGATGCACAATAAAAAACAAACAAGCACAACAATAAACAGGCAGAACAAACAGGATACAAACTATTATACAATAAAACCAAATAAACAGGAAGAGCAAGATCATACATGATCACAAGACTGAGTCCTCTTTTAAAATGTTTCAGTTTAAAATGACTCCAGTCTGGTTCCAGTCGGAGCTCCACAGGTATAAAGCATTCAACACGTTGATCCCCTGAACAGAAAAGGCTGTTTGTCCGAGTGAAGAACTAAAGGACGTAGCTTCTGAAGTCATATAGGAAAGATAATGGAGACGGAGGATTTTGTTCCTTAGAAATGTTGTTTATGCTTAAAATATAATTTAACAACTAACTTACTTTAGAGCTGCAGCCGAAGCATGCCTGTACAAAACATCACCATGATCTAACACTGATAATGGTGATGCATATAAAGTCTGGTTATAAATGTTGCATGCCACATGACTGCTCCCTCACCAAATAATGAACCTGGACATATAACAACATTACATAAAGAGGAAGCTTACTTTCAGTGTGCAGATTCTGAGTTTGAAAACACACATGCAGAACTATAGAAGTAGCATGTGTGTGCATGAGCTCCTCTCTCTGGCTCACTGAATCACTTAATTGTCCCTCACTGGGTCTGACAGCCTAAAGACAAATACACATCTACCCCTTTTCTGCAAATGTGTAATTATCTTATAGGAGCAATATGTTACTCCTCCTGCCCCCCTCCTCCTTAGAGTCGATGTGCACGCAGGATGCTCTGTCCCAGACACTGAAGCTTCAAGGTTTAACCTGCTCTGCATCAGTTTATTTTTCAAAAGCATCTCCAATATTTATCCTTGTTTAACCACATTTCTATTCCTTCTGAAGTTGTGTCCTGATCACTCTGGTCTTAGTCGTGGTTTGGTCTCTGTTTAGCTGCAACAAGAAGACACATCCCATCTGTGTGAGTGTATAATACTGCATGTCAGACTCACCTCCGGTCAAGTAGGCATAGTAGCACTGTGACCAACGTGACTCATTCTTCAGCCTTTCAAACGCCCTGAATGCATCTTCAAAATTCAGCTCTATCATGCTGCACCAACCTGAGACAAGGAAAAAAACACATGAAATGAATTCCTCCCGCTAACTGTGTTTGCAAAGTGCACGAATGTTTGCAGAAAGTTGATGCTAAAAACCGTACCAATCTCATAGAGACACACATGCTGGAGCTCTCTTTGGTCTGATGCAAGCTCTAATGCATCATGGAAACAGGCCAAAGCACTGTTGATATGGCACTGGGGACAAAAAGAGAGGCGATAAACATCGAGTTATGCAAGACACACACTTTATGTAGGTGTTGACTGACAGTTAGATAATAAGAGGGAGCATCACAATTTGACACATGCTTTCTGTCTACAGTAAGAACAAGGGTTTGTCATCAGTACAACTGCAATACAGCATCCTAATCAGCCACTATAAACAAAAATACAACATTAACATGTTCAACAGTCTCTACTCGCTCACTGATTGGTGCTGATGTAGATACTGTACCTCTAGCCTGTGGACCCGTCCTTTAAAGAACATGAAGAGGGATGAGTTTGGGTAAACCACTGACTTTCTCTGCAGAATAGCTTTGGCTTCCAGCAGCCCCTCGTGTGTATCTGAGCCATCCAGAGCAAAGAAGGGCAGCACTACTGTGTGGTACCACAAGAGGGCCAACCTGAGTAACACAACAGGAGAGAGATCTCAGTCTGACGTAGTCTCAAATTAACAGTAATCTGTATTAATGTAAGCATTTTTACAAAGTAACAATATAGCTCTTCTGCTGGTTTTACTCATTAAAGACAGATTAGCATTGATTTTAAATAGGATAATTATGTGTTTGGCTTTTGATCATGTTGATCTTTATCAGTTTGCCCCATAGAGTTATGTTCAAAACGATCATCATGCTGTTTGGGGAAAGACTTTAAACTAACAACTGGGACCTTAAACATCAAATATTTATATCAAACAAAGTATGGTCGTTTTCTCATAATCTTCTTTCCAATTTGATCATATCGACGCCCCTACTGGTCATTATAAAGAATGCAGGTTTTGAGGTTTTGGGCCTTTCTGCATGCTGTTTACTTTAAGACCCCGGGGCTGCATCCATTTCTTGTATAAAGACAATCCTTTAGCTGAACAACAAAATAACACTATTGATTGAATATTGTAAAAATGTTGATACTTTCAGATTAACATATCTATCTCAGTCAGTTGGGGTCAGTTGCTTTTATTTGGTGGCTATTTTGTTGCATCTGTTCTAGCTCTCACTACTCTTTAGTAACTTATTCTATACATTTTTCGTTATATTAGAAAATCTCAATAGTTAAATTGCAGGCTAGTTGTGGAGGTACTGCAAAGTAGAAAAAGCAATGCCCATTGCATTTTACATTTTACAAAATCATCTCATCGACTTTTCATGTAAAATAATGCTTTAAGTAGCTTAAATGCCCAGGAATAAATTATTGCTGATTCTGATTCTGACATTAAATAGAAAGCTGTCTGAGAGCGAGTTCAGGCTTGACATGACTCATTTTACACAATCACCTATCACACGTATCTTCCCACTTTAGCCATCTATTGAAGTCTCTCTCTCTGCTCTGTCATTGCCATTGCTGTCTCGTACAATTGCTGTATTTAAACTTTCAATCTCCAGCCCCCTCAGCATCCACCTGCAGGCTCAAACTAGAGGTTTACGATATTATGTCATCACTCCTTGATTTCTTCATGAAATAAATCTGAGAGGAGTAACGAGGTCGGAGCCTAGCCGCCAAACTCAAACTACGTATGTTCTGCTGTTGCAATCAAACTTTCAAACAATTACAAACGTGAGCCGTCAATGCAATCTTTAAGTCTCCTTAGTCTACTTACGTCGCAAGTGGTGCCTTCATGTCTTTGCTCTCACTGGCGTACATGAGGGAGGACAGACCCTGCAGACGGTCACCAGGGAAACCCAGCAGGTTGATAATCTTGAGCAGGTGTGGAGGTACCATGGAGATGCACAGGTGGAAGAGGCCGTATCCGAAGCTGACGGAGCCTTTGAGCCGGTCCAGGGCCTCGGCTGTGACGCAATTCTCCACAGGTGCGTTGTGGTTGGCGTTGTCGGCTGTGAGGGACTCCTGATTGAGGGAGGACCTCCGCTGACACGCCTCCTGCAGTTGGCTGATGTCACTGTGGCACTTATTGTACATTTTCCACGCCTTACGGAGAATCCAGCCTCCTTTGATATAAGCTGTTAGTGGGATCAAACGGGAGAATTTTGATGGGGATACTCAAGTAGAGGAAACAGACCACAATAAGGTTTTTCTAATGGATGTAGAGCTGGAACTTATCAACATATTCATGATTCATTATTGTACTGAAACTTTTTGTAACCTTCTTAGAAATGGTGCTTCAGTCTTACTTTGTCAGTCAGTCCATAAGTCTGAGTGAACACAAAAGTGTCTTACTTCATAATGGACTCAATGTCTTATTTTGGCCACAGAATGACTCCACAGTGACTCTGCATTTGACATCAGTGAAGAGATTTTAACTCAAGATGGCAGCACCATGCTGAGAGACTGTGCCGATGACAGCACTTAAGTTAGTTTAGGAGTGGATTTAATTGGACACAAGCTAAACCAGTGAATACAACAGATGCAGTCTTAGCAGCAAATAAGAGAAAATGTAACCGTAGTGAGGCAAAACGCCAATCTGATAAAGCTGGTTCCAAAGTGAGGGTGGGCCTTGGGTTGACTTTCATATGTGGACGCAGAGTTGGGCCGGATTTCTATTGGACAGGCAGGTGCCAAACAACAGTGGTTAGCTTGTGCTAGCATGTGGAGCTCGCAGTGTAGGTACAAGAATAAAGCCCTGAATGCTCGTTGCCATGGGAGACAGACATCTAAGGTCATACTCTGTGTGGGTTTAGATTTTATTACCTGAAAGTTCCTGCTTGACAAAGGAGAGCACGGCGAGGTACACCTGACAGTCTGCAACGATAATCTGTCTCTGCAGGCGGTCCACCACCACGACGCCTGACCTCTGAGAGTCCATCTGTAGAACACACAAATCACCACACACAGATAAACACAAAAAGCAGTATGTACACCTTGGTGCTAGGTGTTCAATCCATATCAATACAGGGATGTGGCAAATGTTTTTGATCAATGTTGATTAAACTAACAGCCTATCACATAGTAGAAATAAAAATGGACTGTGCTTGCGGCTCTTAGCATGCATGTCAAGCAGATGGCTTTGTTTGTTCACAAAGCATTTTTGAGCTACTTCTGAAGAAAGTGAAGCTCCTAGAAATTTGAGGAAAATGCAAGTAGCGGGGCATCGAAGCTGCAATGAAGAATGAGTTGTCCTCAAAAGCGGAGGAAATACTGACAGGAAAGGTAATAACAAGCCTACACTTTTATAGAAGTGGTGTACATAAGCCAGAAGTGAAAAGGCACAAATTAAAAAGATCTCAAAATGTGCTGTCGGTAATGCCAACAAAAACAGTAACACAACAAATCTTTTTCCACGTAAGGTACCATCTTAGCAATTTAAGATATTCTTTACGAGTTTTCCTTAAGGGACACATGCAGCCAAGACAATGTCACTTTTTAGGTTTTAGTAGTTTGAATAAATCCATATCTATCTGTCACATATGTCACACTGAACTCCTTCATCTGGAGTTATCAGAGAGTAAGGCTGATCGCAGCTGCTCCTGATGCCTTTTTTTCTGCTGAAGAAAAAATGAACTGACACAGTTTTCTTTTCTTACATAACACTGCTCACTCTTAGTGGTGCATGCAAGCGCCCCATGTACAGAGCACCTAGAAGCAGCTCAGCTTGCAGCCCCTTTTGCACACATTGTAAAGAGAAATCATAATTTTTAACATACATTTGATTTATTCAGTGTTTTTCCACCTGTGTTTATTTGAAATAAAAGAAAATAAGCTTAAATGCATGTAAAGGTCACTTGTAAATGAAAATGCAGTTTTGTTAGTGTAATTAACAGTCTTGTATATTTAAAATTTACAGTCTTTAAAAATAAGAATTATTAAATTATAGATTATGATGAATATCGATTTAGAAATCTATAATAGTGACGGCAGCCAAAGAAATAAATCAAAAGGGGTTTAAATGATACAAAGCTGTGAGACAGCTGCCCCACTACTCACTCACTTTGTTGATCACATTTCACTGAAGTACTAATTGAATCTGTGAGAGGGTTTGGCATGATCTCACTGCTGCCTGCATCATTAGGACTGATGCCGAGAGTTGAATACGTGAACAGTGGGTCTGTTGTGGCTGGCAGCTATACGAGGAGATCTCAGCATCAATGGACTGGCAGTGAAACGTGTAAATATTTTCAAGTAGCTATAAAGACTACTTTCTGACATTCATCATCTTCAGTGAGAGCAGCAGCATATAAAAGATTTGCCGACACTTTTAAGACAATGCAGAAAATAGATGACACGTGTCAGAAAAGGAGTGTAGTGTGTGGCTTGTCCTGTATAAAGCAGCACTGTCATGGATCTATATTATGTATTAGAAACAAGGACACAGTCTTGTGGTCATGTATGACCTTGATCTTTCTGTTTATTTGGTTTTATTTAATGATAGTTTGTATCCTGTTCTGTTTCGCCTGTTTATTGTTGTGCTTGTTTGGTTCCCATTGTGCGTGTCTACTGTTGTGTTTTATGTATTTTAAAGGCCCATCTAGGGACCGGCATTGCTACAAAAGAGAATAGCTTTCACTTGATGATGTCGATGGGGGTGGGGTAATCTTGGGAGTGATTCTCTCTGCTATTCCCACCCCCCCCCCCCCCCCCCCACCCGATTAAAACGAACTCCAAGTTGACATTAGTAAAGACAAATGGGTGAAACCGACCTGAGGAAGAGAATATGTTTACCGACGATGTATCCAAGTCTAATTTACATGACGTTTTTTTTTATCACAGCAGCACATACAGCAACAGTACAGCAGCTTTAAGTAGCAATTCACGACTCCTTATGTAGCGGCCTTTGACGTAACATCTGGTGTTTCCATGGCATCGATAAACATGTCCTGTCTGTTATGGTGGCCACCACAAAAGTCACTGGGCGTTACAACTATAAAATTAGAACTGTTGGAAATATTTCAGCTAATGTAAGTACACAACAACAACAAAAAGACATGGATGTAGCGGAAGGAGCAACATAGTCCGCTATACGATGCTATAATGACAATATCTGCCTTTATATCAAAGCTACGCCTTGTTTGGCAGAATCACAACATCAACAAAAGAGAACAACAAACTGACAAACAGACAACGTAATGCAGCCAGTTTATAACGTTTGAGGAGATTGTAGCGGTCGCATGCATACAGTCAATGCACTGACTCCAGTCACAGTATAGAAACGTCATTCCCCCCTCCCATTGGCTCAAAGTGAATTCTCCGGATAATATCCTGCTGCGTTCTCACATCAGCCCACTTGGACTTTATGAGTAAAAACTACTAGGGGTCTGGCAGGAGAAACTCCGGGTGAAGTCCGAGTTAAACACCTCAAACCTCAAGAAGAACCAGACTCAGTGGCGAACAGCCGAGTGCTGTGAGTGGACGGGATCTTTTGTCATACACTTCTTCATGTAGACGTAGAATACTGCTTCTGTTTGAATAGCATCATTAAAGCCATGACTCTGCTGCAACATGCACTGGCACTGAAAGTGTTTTCACAAGTGTTTCTTTGACTTAATTAGAGCCAGCCTACGTTTCTAATTCTTTGTTTTGTAATCCTTCACATCCTCTTACATTCTCTGCAGAAAATCAACAGCTCGGCCTTTTATAAACACCGCAAACTCTGTAACTACTTTTAAGACAACTAAAAATGTTGTAATGGAACAATTACGTACATTTAGACGTCATTTATTATTTTAATTTACTCATATCTTTTCCATATTTTATTATTCCTTGGTATTCCTTTGTTTAAAAATAAATCAAAGGATATTCTTAGCATTAAATGATGTGGTTCTTAGCTTACAACATTTTTCCTGCTATTAATGGACTGTTTGTTTTTTTATCTGATTAGTTGGTTTTATCCCACAGTATTTGCATTTATTTTAATTCTCTTGTTCTGACCTACAGCTCCACTTGCAGTATGAAAAATGCTACATCAATAAAGTTTAATGATTAATATTATTTATGTTCTTGATTTAATCTCATTACACCTGCCCCAGAACTGCATTTATAAATGATCCTCGTAACTTCACGTCATAAATAAAGATTTAAAACAAAAATTTATAGGTGTCCATGTATGCACTGTCAACGTGATGTGTACTTTCTGAAAACTGTCCATATATTTACACTCACACTTTTTTTGATCTTGTTCCTGATCGTCTCTATGACTCCGGCGCTGTCGCTCTCGCACAGTTTCTCTGTGGTCCTCAGGTCGTCACATGCCATCTGCATCTTCTCCTCCTCGAATGTCATCATCGCATTCTGTCAAGCAAAGCAAAAAGATATGTTTGTTGATTGTACACATCTGAAAGGGGATAGATTTGTTCATATCATACTGATCAGATTAAGCTTTGTTGGCCTGGCATGTTTACAAATGTAAGGGTATTGACACTGTTTTACATTCCTTTCATTGTACGTACAAAGAAATAGATATGAAATATCAAACACTGACGTTCAACAGAGCAGATCTTCTCTTAAGCTGGCTTACAAACCCAAAGATCTTGTAATAGGAGGGAAGGAGTGTTATGTAAAAGACTTAGAAAGGACAAAGGGCTCTTGTGCTTAACAATGAATGGAGGGACACAGTGACATCTGTACAGCTGTGTGTTTGGAATTAGACAGATCCGCCATGGTTATAACACAGTCAGGAAATCTTTGCTGAAATGTTGCTTTCACCTTTTAAGATTGAAGCGGGGAACATAAAGACACAAAATGCTATCCCTTGCAAGAAATACCAGATGTAAAAAAAAATATTTAGTCGTATTATTGTGTGACATTTAAATAGGGCTTTTTTGTAGTTTGACATTTTGATATTTGATTGTATAACGTTTTCTTATTTCATGCTGCATTTAATTCCCCTCAGTGCATGCCCACCATGTTGGTCAGATGTCAACACCCCCACTCCCTTCAGGGCCATTTTGCATCTGAGGGTCAGAGGATGACATCATCTCTGTTTTCATGGTATGTGACTGTGATTCTGAGGGGCTATAACAGTGTGTGTGTGTGTGTGGGTGTGTGTGTGTGTGTGTGTGTGTGTGTGTGTGTGTGTATGTGTGTGTGTGTGTGTGTGTCTGTGTGTGTGTGTGTGTGTGTGTGTGTGTGTGTGTCCTCTCGCAGCAGTGATGTACGCAGAGTTACAGTAATGCGCTTCTCTGAACAAGCGATGCTGTTCTTTGAGAGGACGATGCATCCATTATGTTAATGGGGGGAAAAGGATGCAGAGGATGCCAGCGGTGACGACGAGGGAAACAATTCAACAGATTGGGTTTCTTCAGGTCTACCTATAGGCTGTGACTTTATTGGCTGGGATCTTACTCTGCTGCGATTTTATGAATCACTGCTATTTCTTAAGCGAACATTTCTTTTGACACTTTTATTTGACCATTTTTATAACCAGCGCGGAGGAAACTTACCAGAAAACTGACGAAGCTGGCCCCAAAGCTCATGAGTGGACTTTGACTCCTACAGGGATAACAGGAGGGAGAAACATATAGTTGAAAATAAACAAATGAAGAGGAATAATAATGGAAACTATAAACAAATTCTCATTCATTGACTACCTAGAGCTGTAGCACCAAATCATCCAAATAGCCAGCCAAGAGAATGAAAATTATGCAAGATGGAAAGCAGCTGGTGTGGTAACTCAATCTGTCACGACTGAAGGCAGGGGTCTTACTACCGCACTGCTCAAAAACCATTTGACAGAAGTAATTCAGTAAAGTTTATTTATATAGCACCTTTCAAGTGCAGACGCCACAAAGTGCTTCACAATAATAACCCTTAAGACTGGAGGGGCAAAGTTCACTTATGACTATCATGTCGACAAAATACACAAATCAAAGCTTAAATGCTGTCCAGAAAAAACATCAAGTAGGCTATCGGGTAGTTTTGACAACATTAGTACAGGGAAATGATTTGTTGTCATATTAATTATATTCTGCAGTGTTGAAACTAAAATCTTGATCCCCAAATCAGTTGTGGTATCACAACACCGTGCATCACTATGTCGGATATAAGATAGTAAACATCCAGAAATCATAATTCATACTGTTTACATTGTCTAACTTCACAAATCAAACATTTTATGGTAAAACAGGAGTGCCTTTGTATAAATACATTTCTTAAATGTTTTTGAATATTCGTTTGTTGTACATGGGGTTCTAATCCTCTCACACTGATATGCAGGGAATGACTTGATAACACAGGTGTCCAAAGAGGCAGAGATAATTCAGTGAAGAGATGTTTTATCCACAACCTGATCAAGTCGGTGTAAATAGTGTCATGGCTTTTGTCAATGATGATCATGTCATCGATCTTTAATAATCCTAAAATCAGAGCCAGACTTCAGTCTCACGATTTTAGGAACAGAAGGACAGACATCTGGGGACATAGCCCCTCTCCACTGATAAACAGGCCTTACGGGTGAGACGATTTTTTTTTTACATACATGTTTTTAGTGTAGATCATTAATTAGGCTACACTTGTGCTCTGAGATTCATCTGCAATATTTTCTTGCACACTCTTGCTGATTTCACTGGCTTTAGGCACGCAACGTGCTGTAACACAGTATGGGGATGATTACCTGTATCTCTTGAAGAGCTCGTCGCTCTCCTTGAATCCGTTGTTGAGCAGCATGTTGATGCCCTGCAGGGCCATCTCAGCATCATCTATGTGCTCTGCTTTCTCCTCCACCTGCTGCTGCTGCTGCTGCTGGGACTGCTCGGGACCCGCCATTGTTTGTACCACTACACCTCTGTGGCTGCTGATGGGCTGAACCGGAGCGTCTTGGAAACAGATGACAATATGATTCCTCTCCAAAACAAACCCGCATTGGTTTATTTCCACTGATGAAGGAGGCGAATTCAAACCGAGACGCGCCTTTGATCGGCTAAAAGGAAGGCAGTGAAGCTTCTGCAGGCTCCAGACGTCTGTGCACCTAAGGGAGAGATAGGCCACTGATGCCCAGATGGGCTAAAACACACAGTTCTTCAACGATTCACAGCGTTCATCGTAGTTGTAGATAGCAGAGGTCTGTACGCTCAGTAATAAGCCGTGATTTGCTTCCAAATCAGCCATCCGTCAGTGCTTTATTTAACCCCTGCGTCTCTGTGGCGTGCACCAGCATCCGATGCATTACATAACCAGGATCCAAGCGGCTGTGTGGCTCTCCCAGTCCCACGTAATGCACTCGTCAAACGGCCTAGCGTCATAACGCAGCGCGCACCGCCGGGAGGATGGAGGGAGGATGAGGCCCGCTGAGGCGAAGCTGCATCCTGTCAGCTTTCATCCACTCACACTCTCTCCACACCCGCAGGATCCACACCAAACCCAGCCCTTCATCAAAGAGGCAGCCAATAGGAGCACAGCCCGTGCAGCATGCAAACACACATGACAGACAGGTGGAGACAGGGATGTAGAGAAAAATAGATTTTTTATTATTATTATTGATTTGAAACAGGTTATTGCCATTGCCCATCTGCTTTGAAACTTCTATAATGCGTTTGATAGGATCTGGGATTTTTCAGAGCAAAAGACTTTGACCTTAGATGTTCAAAATTTTAATTCACCAGGAAAAAAATATCCCAGAGCTTTAGCAACAAAAACATGTTTCCAAAACTTGTTCTAATTCCCCTAAACAACCCTTTTACCTAAAATCTGTATTTTATTTTGTTTGTTTTCATTTTTGTTTCTATTTATTAAACTTTACTTGCAAACCAATTTCTTTTTAGATAACTGATATAGTGATCTTTCCAGTTTCTTTAGTGCATACAGCATTAAAATGAATAATGGGATTTTTCCATTTATGAAAAATGGAGATAAGTGTGGATATACTAACAGGTATAACACATTGAAAAGATGGTAAATGAACTTGAGCAACATGGGGCTAAGTGTCTTACCCACAGACACATCAACATGTGGCTGCAGGAGCTGGGGATCGAACCCCCGACCTTTGGAGATATAAGTTTTCGATTTTCCACCAAAACTCAAAATTTTTCTCATCTACAAGGTGATCCATAATAAATGTTTTATGACACCAGTCCTTAAAATTTGACTCAATATTCAGAATGAGTATTTTGTTTTGAGTATTTTTTGACAGAAGTGAGTCCCTGTTCAGTTATGTAAAGTTATGTGTTTCCAGATACACTCGTCGTTTCTTTGTAGCTCGAACAGTAGGTTCATTGAGTGTGTATATATTTACTTTACTTCCTGGCAGTCACTGATCCAACAGAAGCCGGAAAAGCCTGAATGGTGAGATTTTTTTAAACAGGTGTGATGAAAATATCTCTTAAGAGTCTGTTAGCCAAACACTCTCTGTGAGGTTCAGCCTCTCAATCTTCTACTGAAACGTACAGCATTATGTCCTGGGTGAGCTGATATGCAACCTTTTAGTTTCTCTTTACCTTTGATGTATGCACCGTCAGTCTCTATACAGGCCAGACGGATCCTAACAACCAGGGTTCAGTAAGCTTAACTTTGCACACTTCCAAAGACTTCACGACTGCAGAAGAACTTAAGGGGAAATGAGTTTGGTTTAATAAACTCCTTTTAAAAAGTACATGTACTTGTACATGTACTGAAGATGTACTTGTGATACAAAATTCAACAACATATAATATAAAACAGGAGATAAATTTAAAGATGGATCTACTCATGAGAAAAAAACGTGAGAACGTCATCATTGAGTTGTTCTGAAATACTGCTCACACTTTTTTAAGAAGATTCTGGGATTCAAAGATGTTTTTTAAATTCTTATATGCAAGTTATTCATTTTCCAGGATTAGAAGGATGAGAAGTACAAATGTAACCTTTGTGTGAGGTTACATATGAACTTCAGTGAGTCGTGCAGACAAGAAAAGTCAACACATTCTGATCTTTTGAACCTTTAAAGCAGGGGGTGGTACCTCAGCAGTAGGACACTGTGCTTTCACAATCTGAAGTGTACAAGCAGAGTTAGGAGAGTCTTTTGTATTCATTAACTCTCGTTTAAGACAGACATGGAGCTCGGATCAACGGTTCGAGCTGTGAGGAGTCAGCGGGTGCTGGTTGGTGATGAAGTCAAGCCTGCTGTTATCTTAATAAAAGATGGGAAAATCTGTCAAATACTCTCAGACAGGGACCTTTCTGCGGCTGATGCATGTGAGGTAAGCTGGCTAAGATGAAGATAATCACAAGTTTATAAGAGCAAATGCACTGATTTAAACCTGATGTTTATAGGTAGTAAACAGTGTTATCTTGTGTGTGGCCCACCTGTGACAGCAGGTGTTGGATGTGGGCGACAGTGTGGTGATGCCAGGTGTTGTAGACTGTCACGTCCATGTGAATGAACCAGGCCGCACCTCCTGGGAGGGTTTCTGGACTGCCACCAGGGCTGCTGCAGCAGGGGGAGTGACAACCATTGTGGACATGCCGCTGTAAGTTTGAGAGCCCCTCATAAAATCAATCAGCACCCAACAACATGCAAGGTCACTGGTGGACGGCAAAGGTTGTAAAGTAAACAAAATGTTAAAGAACTGGCCTCTCCGAGCAGGAGTACAAGTTATTATATAACACTAAAGTACAAACTGTGAGCTTGACAGTTGTGTTTGTTTGAAAATAAAGGGGATGAAATACACTGAAAAGACTCAGAGGTGCTACATCTTTTATGTTGTCTATGATGACACACAATGCAGTTAGTGTATTAGTAGTAATAAAATCCATACCTGAGCAACCTTTTTCATCACACGTTTGTGCATTAGCTGCTTTGTTGTTTTATGATTTTGTCTTTAGCATTGTCCTTTATAATAATAAAATGTTATTGAATACATTAAGATCATTTACAAACACACATCTACATCATAGATTTGACCTGAACAGTCCTGTTTTCAAGTCCTCACAAATGTCTATTAACACTAATATGTCACGATTTTGCACTGTCCCTGTCCTGGTTTTAACCAACCAAAACAATACACCATGCTTGCTACATTTTATATCAATCAATGTTGTTCCCAAGGCTGTTGCTTAGTTAGCCTAACTATCATAATAACATGACCTGCTGTGTTTTCCAAAGAGCTCCAGGAGAGTTACAGCTTAATTCAAAAAGCACCAGGCGATGAATATGTTGCATTTTGCACACACTGCACTTGTCCATTTTCAGTTGCCCACGGGGGAAATGCCGATATACAAAGCCATATTAAATCTTAGAAACACAAACGGTGGGTATAGACTGAGAGTAGCACTGTTACGTTCCACTTTGGTGAGGCAAACACCGATGAAAACCAACAAGCTGCTCAGGAGGGCAGCTTTGCCTACCACCTTGTGTGACCAGTGAAGGTCAATACATGTGGCTTGACAGTCAAATTAAAGTGTCCCCATTTGGAGGTTTGAAAATATGATCACATTATCTTTACTCTGAGTTCCTTTGTCAAATTGGGGTTAAGATTTTTATATTTCATGCATTATGATCTCCACAGAAACAGCATCCCTCCAACCACCACACTTGGTCATTTTCATGAGAAGCAGCGGGAAGCTACAGGACAGTGTTTTGTGGACACGGCCTTCTGGGGAGGTGTGATTCCTGGCAACCAGGTACAGTGCAACATCCATCCATACATTAATATCTATACCCCTAAACCCGTTCTGGGTCACTGGGGGGACTGAATCTAATACCAGCTGTCATGGGTGAGAGGCGGCGTAAAGCCTGGACAAGTCGCCAGTCAATCACAGGGCTTACAGTGGAGCAGCATACATTTATTCTCTATGGTGTCAGGCTATAAGCAAACCAAATCACTGATGTCTTCTTATTAGCTAGAGCTTCGGCCGATGATCCAGGCTGGTGTGGCCGGCTTCAAGTGTTTCCTCATCCACAGTGGGGTGGACGAGTTCCCGCATGTGACCAACAGTGATCTGCACTCAGCCATGAAGCAGCTGCAAGGCACAGGAAGTGTCCTGCTGGTAACTGACCAACTACAGCATCTTTCATACAAATGGTGTTAATTAAAGACACATGTAAAAACAATTAAGTATAGTAACATGACTGAAGAATCTCTTGCTCTGTCTTCTTTAGTTTCATGCAGAAATAGAAGTTCAGCAAACATCAGAGGAGAACGGCGGTATGTTTTATCCATTTGGACCATTCAAAACAAGATTTCAGCTTTGCATGCTAAAATGATCTTATAATCAAATCTCAAGTATATCAGTGTTACACTAATATTCTGCCCTCTTTCTTAAATACTCCCTTTCTACTAATAAATGTTGATATATTTCTGCCTACATCCTTTCCCATGTTAGACCCCTGTCAGTACTCCTCCTTTCTGCAGTCCAGGCCTGATGTAATGGAAGTGGAGGCAATTCAAACGGTCACAGAACTCTGCCTCCAGTACCAGTAAGAACATTAGCCTGTTTACAAACGACCACTATATCCGAGTGGATAGATTTGTTTTGTATTTAGATGCGTTTGCAGCATGATGCCACAATCAGCTAATGCTCTCTGCTCCAGAGTTAGGTGCCATATTGTTCACTTGTCCTCTGCAAAGCCATTAAAACTGATCCAGGAAGCCCGACAGGCTGGAGCCCCCCTCACAGTGGAGACCACCCACCACTACCTCAGCCTGTGTGCAGAGAATATACCTTCAGGGGCCACTCAGTTCAAGTGCTGCCCCCCCATCAGAGGATCTCATAATCAGGTATATAAAAAAAACTAACAACAACCAGACCGTCTATTATAGCATTAACAAAAAACTGGTCTGTGTTAGCTTAATTGAAGATTGATTTTGTCCCCTCAGGAGCAGTTATGGTCCGCACTTAAAGCTGGACAGATTGACATGGTGGTGTCCGATCACTCCCCCTGCACACCTGATCTGAAGAGACTGGAGAGTGGAGACTTCAGTCAGGCTTGGGGAGGAATTTCTTCTCTACAGTTTGGTAACTTAACAGATGCAACATACATGTTGAAGGGGGATTTTCTTTTTCTTTTAAGTTTTATGGGGAGGTCCATTCAATGTTGATAGAAAATCTAATCACCAGAAGCAACATACTCAGTTCATGCTATACTGACCAGGAAAGCCATAACCTCACCACTGCAAGGCTGCAGTTCTTCACCCAGTATACTATCTGTTTTTGAGTTGCCAGTTAGGTCTTGGGGTTAGAACGTGCAGTCGAACCCTCTGCACCACATTGCTTGATGACAATTTTGCAGTTTGAAGCCATGTTTTTGCTGCTAGTTTGCAAAAAAAGCAACAATCAAATTTGCAGCTGCACCAAGATGCACCCATGAGACACAAAAAGAAAATAAACACCAGCTACCAGAATTTTAGAACTATAGCCCTCGCTGAGATGGTGAATTCAGGATGAAAACATTTTGTTCTTCCAGAAACATCAAACATCACTGTCATCTGATGTGGTTGTTGGCCTGTTGGAAACCACCAGCTATCTAAGCTTTGATATTGAGTCTTCTTCTTTGGTTGTACTGATAACAAACTAAAAAAAAGAAACTACACTAGAAATATCAACCCTCAGATGTACTGTAAGGGCAGAGTATGTTTTCAAATGAGGAAACATTTGTTAATTTGTGGGTCACATTAACACATTGGCCTAATGTGTTATTATCCAGCTGCAGAATTGCATTAGATTGAGACCTATGGATGCATCTTCACAGTAACGTCCAATGCATCCTGGGACATGTAAGCGCACGGCATGACTCTGCAGAATAAACATCTCCACCTTCTCAGTCAGTTAAGCACGATGAGGACTTTATGGCTTCACTTGACAACATGTACCACCAACACAGATTCACCGTCCACAAAAAGGAAACTGAGACCAAAGCCCGTTTGTTTTTTTGATTGCTCACTTTTGATATTTTAGTTTACCTAACCCCTGCGTGTGTAAGTTCGAAGACATTATCATGCTCTGATCTTGACTCATTAATTTCCCATGTTTATTTAATTGTGAAATAGGACCCTTATTTATCTCAGTAAATTACACGTGTAATTTGGAGTTGATTTTAAATGCTTGATTTACATTTTTTATCTGAATATAGGGCTGTTAACGTCACAACAAAATGTCCATGGCTGCTGTTTCAGAGTCATGGCAGCTCTCACATTATGCCTGTCTATAGAAAAGCTCCAGGATGTGTCTTAAGATGACAAATCCTGTCTTGTGTTCAGCTGAAAGAGACACTCTCTTAAAATCCTCTACTTTAAATCTAGCCTGTGCAACACAACAGGAAATTTATATGCAGATTTCTCTTTTTAAGATGCATTAGTTGTTTCCTCTTTTCCCTCCTCCTAAACATAATCCCCTCTGGAAATCTCACAAACTGAGCAAAGTTCACACAGAGGTAAACAGCAGCTGAGTGCCAGAACAATCATTTACTGTTCAGACGCAGTGAGAGAGACTAAATGGTCAAAGTCTGACCAAAGAAAGACTGACACTTATCCACAGTGTTTGACCTCCTATAATCATGACACTTCACGATGTGATTGTGCATTTACAGAAGAATGACTGCAGGCAGAAGAGGAAAGCGTCTTAAATATTTGATGGTGTCAGAGCTGTTTAACCACTCCACCCATTTGAACCATTGTCAGGCCTGCCTCTGTTCTGGACTTCAGCCAGTAAGAGAGGCTTTCAGCTGAGTGACGTGGTGAGACTCCTCAGCCGGAAAACAGCCCAGCTGTGTTCTCTGGACCACCACAAGGGCAGCCTCACCCCCGGCTTTGATGCTGACCTTGTCATATGGGACCCCGAGCGAGAATTCAAAGTTTGTATAAAGAACCTCTCAAATCTTTTATTATAAAGCAAAACCTGAAAACCCTTTCTGTATTCAGACTCATTTTCTGTCATGCCTCACAGATTGAAGAAGAAAATGTTCATCATAAGAACAAGGTAAATCAGATTTAATGTGCAAATAATATGATGTCAGGAGCCTTTATGTTTAAGTCTTTTAAGCTTATGATCTGTGTGTGTTTTTGTGTGTAGGTAACTCCGTACCTTGGCGTCACACTGCAAGGCGTTGTGTGCTCCACCATCGTCAGGGGGCATCTGGTGTACAGCGAAGGCTCCTTCTGCCCGAGGCCTCTGGGGAAACATCTCCTCATCCCTCAGAGGACAAATCAAGCCCAACTGTGAAGACGAACGACAATAAGCTGCAAAAACCCTCAATAAATTTAAGTGTCTGTGTGAGATGAGTGCCTCATGTGGTTGTCTTAATTTCTCTCCCACTGAACAAATGATTTTCATTAGTTTTTATTGCCTATATTTTACAACACAGCTTGTATTTGTTATAGAACTGGGTAGACATGCTGGTTTCATTTTTTTTTTTTCATTTAATAGCTCCATTTTTTAATATTTGGGGGTTTAGTCATTAAGATTGAGACACTCCTAAAACATCATCCTGTGTTCAACACAAAATACAACTGATCTAAAGTCACATGGCCAAAATTACACAGACCGTACAAACTGTTTGTAAAAGTTATGATCCAGAGACCTCCACATTCAGAGGAATAGATAAAGGTTTCATTATTAGCTTCTAAACAGCTGAGACATAAATGATCAGGGGCTGTAATTTTGTTCTACAGGCCATAACAATATGTCTTTGATTCAGCTTTTGGCAATTCATTTTTAACCCAAATAAACAGAGTGGTGTAGTAATGGTGCTGCCCCCATTAGTGTGCATGTATAAGTACTAGTGTACTCATTAGGGTATATGTTATACATAAATATTTTGCTTCCTGTACCTTTTATTTATTTTGTTTTTTTTATCTTCTGCTTTATTAATTTAGAACATTTATTGATGTTATCTCCAAACACCAGTCTGTGAAAAATTACTGCAAATCCCTCTAAAACATGTTTATAGTAACTGAACTTTTAATAAGACATGTGTTGTTTACAAAAAGGGATATGGAGACAGAAAGCAGACACTCCTCCCTGCAGAGCCTTCATGCTCCTTGTAACTGCACAGTCATTTCTAGGTTTAATATGCTCAACCGTCTTCCCAGTAAAGAATTTGCAGTAAATATTAACATTATTTACTTCACGTCGAATCGACTCAACAAATGTGTTGTTCACAGGGGCAAAAGTGCAGCAGTGTAATGGTGAAGCTTGATTCTCCAGAGAGTCTGTGGTCAATGATTAACATTTGAATTCAGGTTGACCTTTGTATCTTAAAAACTAGCTGCTCTCCCTGTGCACAGAAAGTGTTGACAAAGTCTACAGGAGCTCACTGGTCAGACAGAGGGGAGGTCTCAGCTCTGCGTTTACCCTTTTCTGCTGCTTTTCTGTGCTTTCACTGCTTTGTCACACAGCTGGGAACATGTCGTCCATCTCTGTACCGCCGCCAAAATGTCTGCAGAAACCACTGACTGTTCCATTTCGTCACATGTTTGGACCAGGACCTTCCAACGTTCCTCCTCGAATCCTGGAGGCCGGGGCCAATCCTGTCATAGGGCACATGCATCCAGAGATATTTGAGGTAACTCAGTGGTCCAACACGTTTAGCAGCCCTCTAAGGAGGAGAAGCACAGGATGAAAAAAACATAGCATTTTACAAGCAGACCTTTACAAGCAGCATTAATCTACAGATATACACTTTAGGAGCTAAAGAAAGCTCAATATAAAACTATATAAACTGTCTATATTGTACCTGAGGATTATTGTAATAATGTGTAGCTTCTTCTTTCCAAATATCCCTGCAGTTTTCATATATATAGATCTTGGTTTGTGCTTTTCAATTCATTCTACTTTGTACTTCTACCACATTACTCTTACTCATACATTTATTAAACAGTTTGCTAAAAAAAAAGCATCATGTGAGTTTAGCCACACATTACAATGTCAAATATTTAATATCAGCTCCAAGCAACTGAAGCTTTAAAATGCTGTTTACATGTGCAAGCATCAGAAACAATAATGAAATACTACAGCATATAACAATATTAAACTCTCATAAGGAGGATTCTCCATTATGAATAATCTTATTTAATCTGAAAGCACGTTTTGCAGAGAATATGTGTGTACTTTAACTGGTATATTTTGAGTGCAGGGCTTTGTGCGCCCTCTTGGTAGCCTGGGTAGAACTATTACGGTACCGTTATTTTACTGTTAGCTAAAATGTTGCGCTGACTAATGTTAGCATATTTTAAAACTAACAATCATTGCAAAAGGGATGCAGTCTAAGCTAACAGTAAATTGTAGGTACTCATTAAAATGCTGAAATTTAAAACAACAAAGGACTTTTAATTTCTGTTAACCCATTTGGAGGACATGTGAACTTTCGATGACTGAAAAAAGAAACTACAAAGTGCAATTGGAAAGTTAATTCACTGTGAAAGATGAGGGGTTTAGTTGTGATTATTGAGGACGGGGTAAGGGGCAAAACATTGAATGATATCAAACATGTGTCACAAGAATGTAACAACTAGATATTCAGGAAACTAATAAAAAAGTTCATTTTAGAAGCTTGTGTATAAGTTAACTGAGTTTTGCGTGGTGCCGATGACCGAGAGGTTAAGTCCTACCCAATGTACGGAGGCTATTGTTCTTCAAGAGCAAGTTCAAATCTGACCTGCGGCTCATTTCCACATCATTCCCCTCTCCCTCACTGGTTTCCTACTCTATCAAATAAAGGCATAAAAACCTAAAAATATATTCAAAAAGAAAAAAAATTTAGTTTTGCATTTTTACTTTAAATTAACTTAAAGCTTCTTTGAGCTTGAACTTTTGATTCTGGCGCCCCCTGTGGAAAACAGAACCACTTTCCTAATCTTTTCCTGTGCATTTGTAACATGTGTTTTCTGTCAAAAAAATCCTTCTTTGTTTTAAATTTTAGAAATGGAGCTCACAAAGAATAAGATGTGGAAACATTTTTAAAAGGCTGTTTTGACGGTGTTATTGCTATTCACATTGTCTGACAACAACCAACTCGTAACAGTTTCAGGAAATAGAATATCAAATAAAGAAATAGTCAACCTTGTCACTGATGGTCTGGTTTGCTTAAGTAGGTCAAATGGAGATGTCAATATTGATATCAGACTGTTTCTTTACCAGCCAAAAACTTAGAGGAGGCGCTTTAAATGAGTCAAACTTTGCCCATCGATCTCTAGTTCAACACCTTATCTGGACCTAATTCAAGCTCATTAGCATATGTGGCATGTATCTCACTAAACACGTATCCCTGACGTTGAAATAATTGATACACCATTGAGCTCTAAGGTTTTAATCTAACCTGTTAGGACATATGTCAGTCTGTCCATCACAGAGAGCAACAGGGTGGAATAACAAAAGAATATATGTCTATTCAAACCTTTAACTAACATTTGGTTTTTTTATGTTGCAGATAATGAATGACATTAAAAGTGGAATCCAGTACATGTTTCAAACTCAGAACAACATGACATTAGCAGTGAGCGGCACTGGACACACTGCGATGGAGTGTGCCATCTTCAACACGGTGGAGGCCGGGGAGAGCGTGCTGGCTGCAGTCAACGGCATATGGGGTGAACGAGCAGCGGAAATGGCTGAAAGGATTGGTAAGACTTGTGGTGGTCCTTTATCCCTCATGAAATACTTTAAAAATACCAAAACCAACAAAGAGTCAATTATTTTCTCTCTTCCTCTCAACTAAGAACATGATTCCTAGGTTTTTACTGAAACTTAAAAACAGTTCACACCGTGATAGCTTCTCTTGAAAACAGTTCAGGAATTCTCTTGAAAAAGCTGGACGCTGTGGTTAAACGACCTGGACGTGTTTGGCGCTTCTTTAGTCCTCTGCATACTCAAAGCACTTTTGCGCTAAATGTCGCATTCACGTTTTCATTCACATTCATTCACATTCACACACTGATGGCAGAGGATGCTACGTACTGTAAAATGCTGAACTGCCCATAAGTACGATTCCATTCACACGCTGCTGGCTATGTAGTGGGACCGATTTGGGGTTCAGAATCTTGACACTTAAATATGTGAGTGCAATAGCTGGGGATCAAACCCTCAAACTTTATGTTAAGGGACAACGTTGCTATAGAGCCTTTTTGTAGAAAAGGAACAATTTCATGAGCTTTGTACCAATAATAACATCACATAATGTTTCCATCCTTGTTCCTTTAAATAAGATCTTAAAGTAAAAATACAATTGTATTCTGAGGTTATTTATCCACATGCACTTTAATTCACTTCAATCCAAAAGGTGCCAGAGTGAACACAATAGTGGCGCCCCCTGGTGGATTCTTATCCAATGAAGACATTGAAAAGGTATCACTGCTTTTTTGTAATCATCAGATTACACAAATTATTTGTCACAGCTATTGTTTTGTGATCAAACTGTTCTCTCATCACAGGCCTTATCAAAACACAGACCAGCGGTGTTCTTCCTCGCACATGGAGAGTCTTCTACAGGAGTCCTGCATCCTTTAGACGGTATCGGACAGCTGTGCCATAAGTAAGACGCAGCATTCACTCATATCTGTGATAATAAGGGAAGGTGTGATCTGTATTATGTTTGTTTCCTACAGGTATAACTGCTTGTTTCTTGTTGACTCTGTGGCGTCAATCGGGGGAGCTCCTCTGTACATGGATCAGCAAGGTTGAGTATTAAAAGCTGCTTGATGTTTTTTTAGTTAACTGCTAATGACACATTTTCTGTGTTACATTATCTGTTTTGACTTTTGTATTTGCAGAGATAGACATCCTATACACAGGCTCCCAAAAAGTTCTGAATGCTCCTCCAGGTACAGCACCAATCTCGTTCAGTGAAAGAGCATGGTGAGAAATTAATCAAAAAGTCTAGTTTGCAAAGTTTATAACATTCAAGATGCAAGAATTTAAAGGATGAATCTTTCTACAGCCAGAAGATATTTAACCGCAGAACAAAGCCTGTGTCATTCTTCTTGGATCTGGGTTGGCTTGCAAACTACTGGGGATGTGACGGCAAACCCTCAAGAGTGTAAGATAACTTTTTTTTAATACATACAGGAACTGATCTTTTTTTTTTTAAATATAAACCATACTTTCACAAATTCTGAATATATCTATGTCTTTTTAATTTATCCTCTACAGATATCACCACACAGGTCCAGTCACTGCTTTTTACTGTCTGAGGGAGAGTCTGGCCGTCCTTGTTGAGGAGGTGCGACTTTAGTTGCATGAGAAATTTTGACTTTTTTTTCAGCTTTAACCCTTAAGAGTTACAGCAG